TATCATATAGCAGAATACTATTCGGCAATAGAAAGGAAGCTAAAGAGAATGCATCATTGAATCCAGGAGGTCAGAGTGGGCTTTCTTTAAGAGGTAAGTGATATCTGAATGAAGACTAGGAATTAACTCAGGAGGTTGAAGTGGGTAATGAAAACCAAAGAGCATTTCATGTGGTCTGGTCCAAAGGTCCTGTAGTAGAAGGAAACATGGCTGAGTCACAGAGCAGAAAGATGACCTTGCTTAGAGAAGAGTGATATTAGCTAAGGCTAGAAGTTGGCCAGGGTAATGCCAGGCAGGACCTTAGAGGTCTTGAGTTGAGGATTTTTATATGTATTCTAAAAGCAGTAAGAAATCTCAGAGAGAGTTTTGAACAAGAGGATGACATATTGATTAACATTTAAATCAATGATCCCACTAACTAAATAGTATGGAGTTCCTGAGTGATACAAACAGTTAAATCACTCTGCTGCACAAGACCTTTTTAAAGCGTTGAAGAGCAAAGCATTTCGGTTTGAGGACTAAGGTGCGCCTGACCCAAGCCATGGCATTTTCAATAACCTCATATGCATGTGAAAGTTGGATAGTGAATAAGGAAGACTGTAGAAGAATTTATGCATGTGAGTTGTGGTGTTGAAGGAGAATATTAAAAGTACCATGGATTGCCCAAAGAACAAATAGATTTGTGTTGGAAGAGGTACAGCCAGAATGCTCCTTGGAAGCCAAGATGGCCAGACTTCATCTCTTACACTTCGTTGACATACTATTGTCAGGAGGGACCAGTCACTGGAGAAGGACATCATGTTAGGTAAAATGAAGGGTCGGAGAAAAAAAAAGAAGACCCCCAATGAGATGGAATGGCACAGTGGCAGCAGCAATGCGCTCAGATGTAGCAAGGATTGTGAGGTTGGCCCAGGATCAGGCAGTGTTTCATTCTGTTGTGCATAGGGTCATTATGAAGCGGTACCAACTTGATGGCACCTAACAACAACAGAAAGTTTGAGGTTCAAGTCCACTTAAAGGTGACTTGGAGGGAAGACCTGATGATATACTTCTGAAAATTCAGCCCTAAGAAGCGCAGTTCTTCTGACACACGTGGGCCTGCCAGGAGCTGGGGTCAACTTGACAGCAAGTGGTTGCCTACAGTATGGTCGAACTGTCACCGAGTGAGAGGCTAGTTGTGCCTGCTGCTAAAATCCTGGTAAGAGATGACATGGCTTACTAAGATGATGGAGATGAAGTGAGGTGGGTGAATTCAACGAGTATTTAGGAAGTATATTGGATTGAATTGTTGGAATAAGGAAGAAGATGGTATTTAAATTGACTCTAAGGTTTTGGCTCAGGGGGTGGGATGAAAAAGAGCCCTTATTCGTTAAGACAAGGAACAATGGAAGAAGGGCATCTTTGGTGGGGAAGATCTGAGGTCAATTGTGGATGTACTGAGTTTGAGATGCCTACGAGACATCTAAATAACAATGTCTAAGCAATTGGACATATGGATGTGGAACTCACAGACATCCAGGATAGAGATACAAAATTGGGTGTTATGAAGACGATCAGTGAAGCTATCAAAATGGATGCAATAGACTGAGGAGAAAGCATCAAATGAAGACAGGAATGGGCCTAAAATCAAGTCTTATTACTAGTTTCTGTCAAGTTGACGCTAGATCATGGTGATCCCACATATGCCAAGTGGAGCTCCATGGAGTTTTCAAGACTGTGACATTTTGGAAGAAGGTCATCAGGCCTGTCTTCTGAGGTGCCTCTACGTGGGTCTGAACTTCCAACCTTTTGACTGGTAGCCTAGCACCTAACCATTTGTGCCACTCAGGGACTCCAGAACCAAGTCTTAAGGAGGTCCAATATTTAAAGAGAAAGGGACACTAAGACGTGACCAAGGAAAAGAAAGGCAAAGCAAAGAAAGATAATAGATCAGAATCCTGGGACAGAGGATGTCTTAAGAAGAGTATAGAAATATGTCAACTGCTTATAGCAGTTTTTTTTTTAAGTGTACTGAATTTAACAATACAGACGTCACTGCTAACTTGAGGAAGAGCAGACCCAATCTCTGACAAACGAGTATGGAGCCAAGACTGTAGTGGACTGAGGAGTGACTTAGAGATAAAGAAGTGGAGAAAGTGATTGGATGAAGGGGCTTCAAAAAGTTCATGGAAAAATTCCGTTATCTTTCAATTCTATTTTTCCCCATGAACTTTATTAGATAATAGGTTCAGCTTCCTATCGTCACCAAATGGGTTGTAATATGATGAGAAAGCAAAGCGTGTAGGAAGTTGTGAAAGACAAGACTTACGTGAAGACGTACTCCTTTGCATCCCTTTCCCTGCAATGTAGGTGAGCATTGTGAATCATGAGTGGAAAACTCTTCTATATGATTTTACCTTCACAACAAAGAAAACCATGAGTACAGAGGAGGAGTTTGGTGGGGTGTCTTCAACACAGGTGACATGCTGCAGTGACAAAGGAAAGGCATGAGTTGGAGGAAGAAGGACAGGCAGGGATGAAAGAAATAGTTCTACTCCTCAACTTTCTAGTAATTTTCTATTTTTTTGAAATTATATCTGGAATTTCATGACTAAACAAAAAAGTCATAAAAGCAAAATAGCACAAATAAAATTGTTAGGAAGCAACAGAAATTGGCCTTTTCCTTCATTTCCTTTTTATCTGGAAAGTGCTTGGGGAGGGAGGTTAACTACTATAACAACAACAACAACAACAACAACAAAATAGAGCTCCTTGACGCTAGAGGAAAGTAAAATTGAAGAGAGGAAAAAGCCAAAGATTAAGATCCTTGGGCCTAATGCTTCTGGACCATAAAAATGGTGAAGGAATCAATGAACAAACAAACCAGAGGAGTAGATGTATCCTAGGAAAAGAATGGAGATTCTGTGAGCAGCCATCCGAGAGATCCTTACCCTGGATCTGGGTGAAATATGTTCTGGCTCTAGTTTCACAAGGGCATTGAGGAGTTTCTAGGACCATTATGCCTAGCCTGTACCTACACTTGTCAGGTAAGGGGGGAAATAATGAGAAAGGAAGCAGTATAGTTCAGTGTTCAGACCCAGTTCACAGGACAGAGAATGTAAGGGGGGAAGCAGTGGAGGCTGAACATCCACGCCCTATAAAGAGCTACACAGGCCTATGGAGTCTTCTGAATCCCCGGCACTTCTCCAATGAATATGACATGTTAGTCCCCTGAGTCTGAATATTTTACTAAGTGGTTTACTTAGGTGTCCAGCAGCAGGCTTGAGAGGAGTGTCCACTTATCGGAATCTACTAAGGGCTAAGTACTGGCCTGTTTGTTTTATATCATGTAATCCTCCCAGAAATTCTGGGATGTAAATGTCACTTTCCTCACGTGATTAACAAGGAAACAGAAGTTCAGAATATCTGTTCTCAGATCATACAACACCTCAATGAAGGGACTGGGATCAGAGGCGAGGTCTACAAGACTCCAATCGCACACTCTTTCCACCATAATGAGTTGCAGAGTGGGAGAAATGAATCTGTTTCAACTGAGAGGGGGAAAGAAATGTGTTGGGGTGACGGGTATGAAGGGAGAGCAGAATACAGACAGGACACAACATAAAGAGTTAAAAATGAAAGAATTTCATTTCTTTTCTGAGAATGAGTAGAAATATAGAAGAAATCACCTAGAAAAGAGAATACAAGATACTCCAACTTGGGAAATGAAAAAATACCTGAAATTTTGAAGAATTCATAATTTAGGGACAGATCATCTAGGTTTGGAAGTCAGCGTGAGACTCTCTGGGGGCAGAATAAAGAGGCTGGGCCCCTTTACTGTGGGTTTGAGAGGAGCCAGCTCAATTACTGACCTTCCTCTCTCTGGTCATGTGACTTGTACTGGTATAAAAGCTTTCTGCTGGCCGGGTTCCCTGCAAATTTTACCTCTGTGAAATGGGTTGTAGCAGAGGCTAACACTCTCTCCTAGAAGCTAACAGAATTTCCTCCAGGATTAAGCCCGAGGAGCCGTCTCTCTGGAACAAAGACAAGGCAAGGCTGCTAGCTTAGTGTTGTGCTCTGGGAAGTGATGCTGGGGTCAGAATTTGAGGAGAAGGTGATGAGGTGGGGGGGGGGGGGGTGCGGGACTGGAGAAAGTCTGTCAGAAATGGAAATGTGAGGATACTATCCAGAGATGGAAGTCAGTGTGGAAGCTAGGAAGCATGGCTGGGCATTCAAAACTGGAGAGAGGAAGGAGAGGCAGGACTCTGTGGGGACAGAGAGGGTTAAAAACCAAGTGGAAACTGAGTCACCCCATTGAGAAGATTTGTTTTGAGTCAAAACAAGAGTTACCACCATGGACTTTTCTGATATTTCTCTGAAGTGTTTTGTGGACAAGTCCAAAATGATATTGCTGGCTCACCCTTCCTCCCTCTCTGCCTCTTTCTAAAGTGTCATTTGCTTCCTTTTTTTGATAGAGTCCCAGAGTCTGATGTTGGACAGGGTGGAAAAGGTGGCAGGGATTGTGTTCTGCAAAAGGAGAGGAAAATGAGGAAGGGGGATGGACCTGGTGAGCTGGACACCTGGTTTCTGAGAGCCTGAGAGTGCGGTAGGGTCCTGAAGAGCGAGAGCCAGCTCTGTGTCCACTGAGAGAGCTGTCTGGCCTTTTCTCTCCCCCAAGCCTCTGACTGAGAGAAGAATTTAGTCAAGTTAGGAACTGCTCCCAGAAGCAGCAGTTTCCTCTATCTGTGAGGGTAGGAGGAGAAAGATTGAGGAAACTAGAGGGGGATTTCCCTCGGGAAGTCAGAGGTTGGTCTCTCCCAGACACACATGATGGTAAATATAATAACTACGGCTTAATATCCCAAGGCAAAGTCAATAGTTGCTCTGGGAAGCTCTGGCAGGTGGTTTGAGTAAGCAGTGGAGACAGTGGAAGGGGACAGCGCTGGGGAAGCAGAGCGGACCCTAAACCACACAGTGAGTGGGGCCTCCTGACCTTGCCTTTTTTATCTTTCAGAATTAGCATGTTAGATTTACGCAACTCCTTGATCCTCACAGCCTACATCATCATCTTCCTCACTGGTCTCCCTGCCAACCTCCTAGCCCTGCGGGCCTTTCTGGGGCGGGTCCGTCAGCCTCACCCTGCCCCTGTCCACATCCTCCTGCTCAGCCTGACATTGGCTGACTTGTTGCTTTTGCTGCTGCTCCCCTTCAAGATCGTCGAGGCTGCTAACGGCCTCCAATGGAACCTGCCTGAGATCCTTTGCGCCCTCACTGGCTTCGGCTTCTACAGCAGCATCTATTGTAGCACATGGCTTCTGGCCGGCATCAGCATCGAGCGTTACCTGGGAGTGGCTTTCCCCGTGCAATACAAGCTCTCTCGGAAGCCGATCTATGGAGTGATTGCTGCTCTGGTGGCCTGGATCATGTCTTTTGGTCATTGCACCATTGTGATCATTGTTCAGTACATAAAACCAGCCGAGCAGGGCAGGAATGGGAGCGAGTTTGTCTGCTATGAGAATTTCACCAAAGAGCAGCAAGATGTGGTGCTCCCTGTGAGGCTGGAGCTGTGCCTGGTCCTTTTCTTCATCCCCATGGCGGTGACCATCTTCTGCTACTGGCGCTTTGTGTGGATCATGCTCACCCAACCCCATGTGGGGACCCAGAGGCGGCGCCGAGCTGTGGGGCTGGCTGTCGTGACGCTCCTCAATTTCCTAGTGTGCTTTGGGCCTTACAACGTCTCTCACCTGGTGGGATATTATACTAGAAAAAGTCCCCCGTGGCGCGTGGAAGCTGTGGTATTCAGTTCACTTAATGCCACTTTGGATCCCTTGCTTTTCTATTTCTCATCCTCAGCGGTGCGCAGAGCCTTTGGAAACGGGCTGCAGATGCTCCGGGATCAGGGCTCAGCATTGTTGGGTTGTAGATGCAGAGAGACAGCCGAGGTGACCAATGGGGACAGGAGTATGAACCAAACGGATGGAGTGCCGAGTTCTGACTTTACCACGGACTAGCAATTCCCCTGGACCTTTGGAGGCACGCTGGGGTTTTGGTTATGTATGGGCTGTGCAGGCTGGGAGAGGGAGATCTGAGGGTTCTTGTTCCAGATTCAGGAATCCTTAGACCCAATCCACCACTGAGACTTTGTATAAGAAGCACCCAGCTTTGTAAAAACCTCTCGCATTAACTTGGTACCCACTCATGACAGAATTTCCCTTCCCAAAGGGGCATGGCTCAATGACAAAAGAAGAAATGGTTAGGTGTAAACGCTCTATTAGACTAGGGCTTTGGAGGGAGGCAATATGGCTGGTCTGAATTCAGTCCTTGGGAAGCAGTTGATAACAGAAGAGTGGAGTCCTATGGCCATCTTAGACACCACGCCTAGACGCTGGTCTAGGTGTTGTTGCTGAAAAGTAGCCAGTGGGAAGGAGATGGGAGGGAACTACTAAGTGAAGTCGTGGAAGACTCAGAAAGTTCTGAGCAAAGAGTACTAGAAGGAAAGGTCAGGGGTTTAAACCTCTAATGGATTGGGCTTGCACTATATCGATTTGACCTATTGCTTTGTAAATGGGCTCCAATTCTTGCATGTATATATTCTATCCCTGCGTATTAAACTGGGAGCTGACTGAGGTCTGGGTCTTGTCTTCTTCCTGCATGGCGCCCAACACTGGCCACGACATGGCTTGGGCCTATCAGTCAGTAGTTGACATGAAGTACCCACTGCCTTTGGTTCCGAATCACAGTGTCCTAAGGAGGACAGAGTAGGACTGACTACTCCTGGGGCTTCTGAGATTGTAAATCTTTATGGAAACAGATAGCCTTATCTTTCTCCTGAGGAGTGGCTGGTGTGTTTGAACCGCTGACCAGTATTTAACCCACTGTGTCACTGGGGCTCCTTTTGACACTAATCAGCATGGGGAAGGACAATGAAAGGTACTATGGCAGACTGAAAATAAGGATTATAGAACTCTGAAGCAAGTGCCCATAACATTTGTTGAAGCAAGTGTCCATAACTCTTGTAACATTTCTACAAGCTCTGTGTGTGTGTGTGTGTGTGTGTGTGTGTGTGTGTGTGTGTGTGTGTGTGTGTGTGAAGAGAACCAGATCCAGCATCAAAGGGGAAAGGTGAGCATTTGAAACCACACAAACATTTTAAGAAGAAGATGCAATGAGAGTAAAGTATGTTAGGCTATTGATGAATAGAGAGATTGAACTTTAGAAAAGGAATGTGGAACAAGACCTGACTCAAGGTTCTTGTTTTATCACAGGAGCTGAAACATGTAGGCCAGCTGCTCAGAAATCTAGAGTTCCCCCATGATCTACCAAACTAAGTCCACCTTCTTCAGCTCAGGAACACATTTCTGCTCATTACCTGCTTTGAGTCCTCCCTTCCTTCCCAGTTCTGCCTGCCGAACTCAGTTCTTCACGATAAAGAGCCCTCTCTCTACTTAAGTGTACTGATTCTACAGCAACTCAGGTTATACATTAATATCTGGGAGTGTGAAGACTTTCGAGATCGCCACCTCCAGCAGGTGAGCTATATAAAGCTTCCCAGGTGACAACAATGAGCAGCTGACCTTAGAAATCACTGCCGTAGTTCAGAGGCCCATCTGTCCAAGAAATTCTTCTTCAGAAAGACCTTTCTTGCTTAGGTTTCCCCTCATGTAAAGATCCCCCATCTTCTGATCACTCGCTTTCTCCCCTCTTAAAAACACTTCGTATTCACTTTCTCCAGAAAAACATCCCTTCTTATTCCTACCCAACTGAGAGCTCATTTTCTCTGTTTTCTTTCCTATAAAGACTGGACTGGTACCATAAAAAAAAATGAAGATAATCAAATAAATTTAAAGGACTATTAAAGAAACTTTAAAAAATATATAGTTAGTGAAAATTTTTAATTATGGAAATAATGGATTAGGTAGCCGATTATAAGGCGAGGGAGACTTGTTTGACAGTAATGACTGAGAAAGAAATCTGGGATTGATGCCGTAGGTTATGCACTGGATCACAAAGTCAGTTTGAACTACGAGATCAATGGTTCAAATCCACAGGTCACTCCTCGGAAAGTCTATACAGGGTTGTTATAAGTTGGAACCAACTCAATGGCACTTAATGACAACAATATGCTTACTGGGATCACAGTGGCTCTGTAGGATAAGCACTGGATTTTGAACTACAAGGTCAATGGTTCAAGCCCACCAGCTGTTCTGTAGGAGATAGGCAAGGTTTTCTGTTCCTATAAGGATTTACAGACTCCGAAATCCTATACAGGATCACTATGAGCCAGAACTGACTCGATGGTGCTTAGCAACAACAACATACATTTTCTATTATAGATTTAAAACAAGAAAATTTGATTTTGGGTGTATTAAAATAAATGATGTCAAAACAAGTAGATGAGACTCCCACTCAGTTTAGTTCTTAACCTAAGGCATGTTTTACTTAGGTCCATGGCACATAACCATCACGTAGAGTCCTGGTGTGGCACTGTGGGTTAATGTGCTGCACTGCAAAGTCAGTCTGAAATGCAAGGTTGATGGGCTCAAGCTTACCAGCCACTCCTCAGAAACTCTATACAGTGTTGCTATGGGTTGGCACCAACTCCACGGCACTTAACAACAACAACAATGGAGTCCTGGTGTGGCACTCTAGGATAAACACTAGATCTCAAGGTTGGTTTGGACCACAAGGTCTGCAGTTCAAACTCAACAGCCATGTCTTGGCAACCTTATACAGGGTAGATATGAGTTGGAACCGACTCACCGACACTTTGCAACAACAACAATCAGAAGCTGTAGGACAAGCACCGGACTTCTGACCCAAGGTCAGTGGTTCAAACCCAGCAGCTGCTCTTTGGAAATCCTACATGAGGTTGCTATGAGTTGGAATCGACTCTACGGCACTTTAACAACAATAATCAGAAGCATGTTCAGTAGTGAGCACCACACTGTGAAGGACATTAGCTCAGGGAATCAAGAACAATTTACCAAAATATTTGAGAGACTTAAAAGGGGATAAAACAATAGTAGTGTTGTGGGGTTGTTCAGTAGAGACCTTGAATAAGGTTTTCAAACAATGACTGGTAGACTCAAACCACTGTCCTTGTGCTAAGCAGTCTAGTGTTTATCCTACGGAGCCACACTAGGACTCCAGAATAATGATGCTGTTGTTGTCAAGTATCATCGAGTCAGTTCCAACTCATAGTGCCCCTATGTAGGGTTTCCAAGAGCTGCTGGTGGGCTTGAACTGCTAACCTTCTGATAACCAGTCCAGTGCTGATCCTATCGCACCACACCAGGACTATATGATACAGCATATTAAATGCCAAAGTCATTATGTAGATGGAATTTGAACCCAGGTCTTTCTGACTCCAGGAGACTGCTCTTTTCACAGACACATGAGAAACAAGCATAGGAAAGCTGGATGGCTGGATGAGATAATGCCCATTTTATGGAGATGAATTCACTATAGCCCCACAGGAAGGGACAAGGATCATGGCAGAAAGAAGAGAGGCAGGGAGGTACATCGCAAACAGCTAAAACCATGCTGCCATTGAGTCCGTTCTGACTCACAGCCACCTTATATAGGGTTTTGAGACTAAATCTTTAGTGGAGCAGATCTTTGTCCTGTGGAGCAACTGGTGGATTTGAACCTCCAATCTTGTGGTTAACAACCCAACACCTAACTCATAGCTCCACCAGAACTCCTTCCAAACAGTTGTTGCTGTTGTTGTGTGCCATCGAGTCAGTTCTGACTCATAGCGACCCTGTGTAGGGTTTCCAAGGAGCAGCTGGTGGGTTTCAACTGTGGACCTTGCAGTTACCTGTCCAGTGCTTATCTTACAGCATCACACCAGGACTCCAGTCCACACAGTTGTGTGTGTATTAAGTGCCATTGAGTGGGTTCCAACCCATAGCGATCCTGTATCTGCTGACCTTGCAGTTCAAATGACTTTGTAATCTGGGGCATTAACCCACAGCACCGCACAGTTAGGGCTGTCTAAAATGGTCTCGGTGTAGTGCTGTGGGTTAATGCACTGGACTGCAAAGTCAGTTTGTACCACAAGGTCGGTGGTTCAAGCTCACTAGTTTCTCCTCTGAAACCCTATACAGGGCTGCTATAGGTCAGAACTGACTCAATGGTACATAACAACAAAAGCAACACCTTTAGATCAGAGTTTGCCAGAGGACAGTTCTACGTTATGTATTTATGTGTACTGCAAATGTATAGGCAGGGCACAAAATTATGAAAACTTCTTAGCCATGACCAAATGTCTTGAGGGAGTGAGTCACTGGACCTAGGGCTCAGACCATAATTTCAGGATATCAAGACCAATTGGCATATCACAGCCCACAAAGAAAATGTCTACATCCTACTTCAATGAGTAATGACTGGTTCTTCAAAGCTTGTGAGCAGCCGTCTACGATGTAATTATTTTGTCTCTCCATGTCCTGAGCAAAGGAAAGTGAAGAAAAGCAAAGATGCCTGGAAATGCTTCATCCAAAAGACTAGTGGACCATGAACCTCCGCCTTTGTGACCTTGGTACCAGAAGAACTAGGTGGTAACTGGTTATCACTGCTAACTGTTCTGACTGGATCATGATAGGAGGTCCTGAGTAGAGGCTTGCTAGTCTGATAGAGACAAATAGGACCCTTGAGACCATGGTCCTTTATTGTTGTTGTTAAGTGCCGTCGAGTCGGTTCCAACCCATAGCAGCCCTGTATAGGGTTTCCTAGGAGCCACTGATGAGCGTGAACCGCCGACCTTGAAATTCAAAAGCAGCATTGCAGTCCAACGCATTTCTTTAGACACCCTTCAGGTCTGGAACTCAAAAAAGGCAAAGAAAATTACCATTTTAGGTCATTTAAGGAAACTCATGAGCACCGAACCTGATGAGCACAGAGCTAGTTACCAAACGTCTTTCAACTCTGAGATTTTCAGGTTCTTTAGGGACATGGATGATCTTGCTAAGCAAAAAAGTACAAAATTAAAGAAGTCATTTTATATTTCAAA